TGGAGTCCCAGGTCGGAACTGAGATCTCCTGTGACAAGCTGAGGGGCAGTTGAGCAGGATGGTAACCCTTAATTATGTTGGATCCCGGGAGACCAGGCTATCCTGTGTGAGGGTCGCCGTCATGGTCGGTCCTGTCTCCGATGGACCGTCGGGACGCTGTGTGTGTCGCGCTGGGCGATTAGCCGCTGGCGCCGCTCGCGGCATACCTCGGAATCCGACGAGGCTGGTCTCAATCAGAGGCCGTGTGATCGCTGGTCTGCTTCAGTCCGGGTTCGTCGGACGAATCCAGCCGTGCGGTAAGCGTGGTCTTGCTGGCACTCCGAGCACAGAATCCGGGGCCAGTAGGGGCCGATTGCGCACCAAGGGACCGCCGTAAGGCAGTGGAAGGGGATTACGAGGCAATAGGAAGGGTAATTAGTCTTGACAATGGCTATTCCGGATTCAGCGATGACATGGCGTGTGTGCGAGTGGGGAAATTGCGGCAAGGAGGGGATCGCGCTTATGGCCCGTTCGATGTCCCACTTGCATACTCGCTCCGTTCAAGTGAGGTAAGGAAATTCCGGACACGAGGCCCGGGGTCGCGCGGCCTGATAGGTGCACTCCCGTTCCCAATGCTCCTGGAATCGCCGATGCCTCAGACTCTCGCGATCTGTGACGTAAAATAGAATCTCAACGTCCATATCGACGGAGAATGGTTGATTCCATCACAGGTTTTCGTGGACGAGCTTCGTGTACACGTGTGTAAGACGCGTTCGTGCGATCGCACTTACAAGTGGGCACACGAGGTTGCCTGGAAGGGTCCGTTCTGGTGATACCGTTGTCTTCCCAAGGTCCGTCGTTCAATCGTCTATTCTAAAGAAAATCCCAGGTTATGCATAAAAAGCAATCCCCAAATCAGCCATCCATATCCTTTGACAGGATCAATCATATGACAATCCCACAACTTCCTCCCGGCTCGCAATGCAATCATTCAGTGATTTGGACTTTTTATGGGATCGTGTAACATACACCCGTCGAATCTTCATACGTACATACATACATCCATTCACTCATGCATAAAAAGGGCGCCGATGAGCATAAACATCCAATCAACCCAAGACATTCAATCCACCTCACCAACAAGCATCAAGGAGGAGAAGGGAGGATAGATTGGTATACAAGGACGCAAGGAGGAGGGACCAAAAATATCTCAGAAGTGAAAACGATGGCGTTTCGCTTGAACCCAAAACTTTAAACACGAGGCAGAAAAGGAAGGGCTGCAACTCCACCCCCGCCTGTTCCCCACGTTCTCTCTCTCTCTCTCTCTCTCTGATACGGACAGTCCGTCGTCTCGCATCAATCACCGAGTTGTCACCCCGCTTGGTCCGCGTATGCCAGCCAGATTTTCCCGTGCGCCACAGTCCGTCGTGGCCCACACGTCAATCCCGCGTACTTGGCACCAGCTCATCGGGTCGCCCAACTCCCACATCAACTCACCTCTTGACTTACTCGTTAGCCGACCCTCACTGATCGCGCTAACCTCGAAACTTCCCAAATTTTTAGAAAGCGATCTAATCGCGCTGGCAAAATTTATAGTGCGCATGCCTGCGCGAAGGGTGCGGGATTGTGTTTTGTGGGGAGGAGAGAAGAGAAAGGAAGTGCCTGCTTTCTACACGCCAGGCCACAGCGTGGGGGATGTAGCCCCTCTCCACGCATCGATTTGAGCATGCAACGTCTTGGCCAATCAGATCGGGGGAAGGCGTATGCATAGCAGAAAGAGGAGGGGCGGAAAGAAGGTTAGAGGACCAAGAAGAAAGATACAGTTACAATGGCGCCCTTCCAAAAATTACAGTTACACGCAAGATTAATGGCGCCATTTAGTCAGAACTTTGTTCCCGCCGCAGGAAGTGCGCGCAAGCAAGAAGCGCAGCGTGCCCAAAACTTCGAAATTCCTAAATTCCTATCTAAATCCGAGATGGCAAAAAAGAAAAATTCTGAAGAAACAGAATTTCTGAAAAGCGAAAGGGAAAACAACAATTCCAAGAGCCCACGGGGGCTCGTCGACAGTTGAAAGAAAATTTAAAAAGAAAGAAAACAATGCTCCCGTGCGTTCATCGCTCCAAAATTCCCATTCTCCTTCGCCCCAGCAGAACAAGAAAGAACCTATGGCCATCTTTATTGATCGTGCCTGACGTGGCGCGCCCGCTCAAGCGTCCGCCCTGGGACCTTCCCGGCCCTGGCGCATCACCACCAAAGGGGAAAAGAGAAAAGGAAGCGATGACACTCTTGCAATTTGCCCCGTCGATCCCGCGTTCCTTCCCCTACCCATCCGATCCCGTCTTAATACCCCCCGTCATCATTGTGCAGAAAGTCATGCGGCGCAGAAAATAGTTCGTCACAATACACCTCAGCTGTTGAAATACAGACCCATGTTCAAACTCCACTCTGCAAGCCGACGAGTGAAATACTACAACACTGGGGCTGATCAGTTCGACGATGATATTTCAAGACCGCTTTTTTTTCCAAAAAAAAAAAAAAAAGCGAAAGATATTTTACAGTCCCAAGTGCAACCGGCCCCAGATAAACTCAAAGTTACATTGGGCTGCATCTAGATTCAAGCCCGGACATGCGTTTCAACAGATAGATCTCTTCTTTTTCGTCTTCTTCTTCTTTTTTCAAGCCCAGGGTGTTGTAGAGGCCAAGGACCAGACCCGCGGTGATTGCTGGTAGTTGCAGCCAATGGTTGTCCTCACAGGATAGGCTACCTACCCTACCCATCTGAAGAAAGAGGAACAGTTGATCTGGACGCCGGAATGCGAAGCGGCGTTTCAGGTGTTGAAGGAGGCTCTGACATCTGCTCCTGTGTTGGCGCGCCCCGGCCCGACAAGACCGTTCGCACTGTACACAGACTGGCAGCCTCAGGCAATATCGGCGGTGCTGACTCAGCACGACAAGGACGGAAGGGAGCACGTCATTGAGTATGCGTCCAAGACGCTGAGCCAGGCACAGGCTAATTACGAAGTGTGCAAAGGTGAATGCCTGGCGGTGGTGTGGGGCATTCAGCATTTCCGACCGTATCTGTACGGCCAGAAATTCGTGCTGGTTACGGATCATCAGCCGCTGCTGTCCCTACGCAACAACACGGACTACACGGGGACGCTGGGCAGGTGGGCGGTGCGTCTGCAAGACTATGACTTCGACATCCCCCACCGTGCCACGCGGCAGCATGGTAACGCCGATGGATTGACGCGCCTCCTGCCGCCCACTAAGTGTCCCGCCAACGAGCGACTCATTCCGTGGAGGCCAGAAGTCGCGGCAATGAAACCGCACTACGGGGAGCTACACGTGCTGTGCAAGAACGACGCCTAAATCCGGAATGGAGGTTTCGCCGGAGATGGCAGATGCGATCTCTTTGCCCTCATCCAACTCCCTCGCTCTCTCGTCTAGTCCCTACTCGTCCCCTGAAACGCATCTAAGCCCCTGTTTCTTCTGTACTTTGCCTATGGTCCCAGACCAAGAAGGGTCACATCCGGGAGGGCCCAATTTTTTTTTATGGGTACATTGAGTCGGTGTCATACGGTCAAATCTCACGGACAGTGCGTTAGGTACCGAAGTGAAAAGACATGGGTCTGTCCCAACTGTAGAACGGGTCAAGTCCCTACCGAGAAGCAGTATCTGGAGGCTAGAACAGCCGACGGATTCGCGCCAAGTGCCCGCCGGGCAGAAGCCTGGACGGACCTCCTGTTGCTACGAAGACTGTCAGGCGACTCGCTATCAGAACTTACCAAAGCCGAACGGCGGAGAGTCACGGAGCGGGCACAAGATATCGTTGGCAGCGACCGACGTTACAAAAACGAAAAGTCGATGATGACGGAGGGTCTAGCTGGTTGACGGTTCCACACCCTCTTGCTAGGTTCAATTGGACACGAGCCGCTCATGAGGAGGATGCGGTCCATTTCACGGTCAAGTACACGGAAAAAGCCATCGAAAAGAACGGATGGTACTAGTCGGGAATTCGGTAAGATGTGAAATACATCGTTCAGAATTGCCCGGTCTGCGCGGCGGACAAGGCGTCAGTACAGATGCCTCGGACGATGGTGCCCACTCGTGTAGAGCGCCCCTTTCAGAGGGTTAGCATCGATACGACGGATATCAACGTTCCGAGAGGGCCCGTCGAGCAGGGAGAACTCAATGTTCTGTTAGTGGCCGTTGATCATTGCGTACCCGATGACCAGCCGGAATTCGCAGGAGGTAGCCTGGTACGTAAATCGATTTTTGTGCATGCATCTAGACGTGGAAGAGGTACACATGGACAATGGGTCGGAATTTCAAGGCGAAGTAGAACGTCACCTAGTCGGGACGGACATTAAGATTATCTACTCGCCAGGCCATTGGCTTGAGGCCAATGGCCTGGTGGAGAATGCCAACCGACAGATTAAGACCGCCCTTAGACGGAATATCACTGCGGGAGACGCCCGGCCCTGGCCGGTCATTGTCGATCACATCTTGGCCGTTTATCGGGCCACCCCGCACGGTAGTACCGGGGTGTCCCCCTTTCAACTGAGAACCAATAGTGTCCCTCGGGTGCAATTGTCCCCCTTAGTAGGTACGAAAGTTAGAGCAACATGGGCCTAGAACCGAGAGAAGCCCCGCCACTACATGGACTTAATGGCTAGGGCCTATCCCCCGTTACCTCGCCGTCAACAGCGGGCCGTAGATCGGACACATCAACGGCAGATCCGTGAGTACGAGAATCGACACGCGTCGGCGGGGCCACTGCCTCGCTATAAAATAGGGAACTTGGTGCAGGTATGAAAATCCGCGCGCTCCTCCAAAGTCCACCCATGCTACACAAGCATTTACGAAGTGACGGAAGTTGGCGCACGAGGCCAGCACTCCGTGAAGCTGGTCCCCAGGCACAACTCGCAGGGCCGCCCGCTGACGAGGCACGCTGCTGCCCTCCGGCCTTTCTGGCCATCGCTAGATCTCGTGCGGCCACCTGTCCTGCCCGAATCACCTTCGCCGTCCCCCTCTCGTGCTCCTTCGTCCTCGACTCCTTCTTCCCCTTCTCTCCGATCGGCGTCGTTGACATCCGCGGAAGACCTTGCCTCGCAGGATGAACCATGGCCAACAGAAGCATGAACTGCTTGAGCACTTCCAGCCGCCCATCTCGGACGCTCTTCTCCGGAACCGGTTCAACGACTATCGGCAGCTGCGCTTCGACATTCAGCAGGTGAACGTGCCGGCACCCAGCGTTGCCGACTTGGCGGTGTACTCGCTCCTTGCGCAGCGGGTGACGTACGTGGGTGTCTATGTGGACATATCGCCCGTGCCTGGCCAGGAATCCACGCGAGTGTTCATCGAGTTCCAAGCCATCCAAGTGGCGACGAACTTTGTGCACAACGTCGCTACTCTCACCGGGGATTGGATTGTCTTACCCGGGCACGATCGGGAACCGACGTATAGAGTCTTGCGCGATTACGCTCTTCAGGTGGCGAGATCGGTGGCGCGAGTGCAGGCTCGGGGCAGTCATCGCTTCACTGCATACGAAGGACTTCTGCGGCGGACTCTGGAGGAAGCACTTGCATTGGTGCCGCAGCTTCCCGCGCTCCTTCCTCCCGCCGAGCCCCTCAACATCCAAGTTGTCCCTCCCCTTTCTCTCTAAATGCCTCCCTTCTTCTCTTACACTACCCTCCCTTATCAACTGACGCAGCTCCCCTATCCTATGCGCAACTTTCCCGAGTACCTAGTGGAGCTGATGGACGTGGAGCAGTTGCCGCTCGCCGACGAGGACGCGTGGGAGCTGCATCGGGCGCTGTATTCATCGGTGGTGTTGGGCATGTTCACATTCTTCGTGGAGCACGAAGTTCATAACGTCGGCGAATTCCTCCACGTGTACTACGTGATCGCCAAGCCGAAGCCGGAGCGGAAGGAGGGAACAGTGGCGCTTTATCCTTTTGGGAGGATCGGAACGAATTGCCCGGGGCTCTTACAGCTCATTCACATCGAGCTGCTGTCCATTGCGCAGGTAATCGCTGCGGCAGAAGAAGACTTGCAGCTCAGACTACGGACCGCCTCAGCTCCGTGCAGATCGTATAACGCGGCRGTGATACCCGACTATCTGGCGCGTGAARGGGAGTCCGTGGTGGACTTCGGGCACGAAGATAAGCCGCTGCGGCCTCCATCATCGTATCCAAAGCCGGCGGCCTTGAAGGCACCAAGAAAGAGAACCGTCCCGAAGCGGCGACGAAGTCCATTGCCGGAAGCTCAGGCCAGTCGAGTGGGGCCTGACGAGGAGGTCGTCCAGCCTGCGCCGGTGCGCGAAGTCGATCCGGTTCGCGAGAGAAGAGCCACACTCGTCATYGRGCCCCGRCCGGGGGAGGACYGCCCCGCCGAAGAGCCGCGGAGATCCACAGGCCATCCGRAGTCGACACCTCAGCGGCCCTGCCTCCCCGATCTCAACAGCCATGCAGCCGGGCCATCAAGCGCAAGGGGGGGATTGGGACGAGTTCCATATCCCGCATCCAGACCCCCCCTCCTTGCAGGACCGTTC